GTGGCTGACTAAATACTTTTTTGCCCCACTGTAGCATCTGCTGAATGCGCTTTCACAAAAGTGAAAATACACGCTTTAGTTGTTCAGAGGGTGTGGTTCACTGAAACCTGCTGCTGGTAAACAAAGAAACTGAACATTTCTTCCACCTGATTGCCTGGAGCCGGTTTCCTCAGTGAAACAGAAGAACGATGCAAAATAGGATAACAAGTTTCCTGAAAGATCAACTTGCGGTTTTTTTGGGGGGGGGTTTTGTGTACATTGTATTGATCAGTGAAAATCTGCAGATCTCTGTTAGCGCCCGGGACCGGTGTTGGGAGTATAGTGGCTTGTGATCCCCTGAAGCTGGGTTTGTGCTGCCTTCAGGAATCGAACCTGAGACCTTTTGCATGTAAGGCATGATCATGTTTTGTGAAGCAAAGATGAATATTTGGAGGAAATACCTGTAGACACGATCTACAGAGAAGAATTTTTTTCTGTACCTGGGTCAACCAGCTTGGCCGCCATCTCCTCGAGGCTGCTGATCTCCTCTTCCTTCGGCGCGTGAATGACCATGGTGGTGGAGCCCAGGATACTGAGCAGACAGCCAAGCTTCCCGTGCAGGTTTAACCGTTCCGTCAGGAAGTATGACGACAGCACGGCGCTGCGACAAAAAAAAAAAAAATCATTTCAGGTCACACACACTTACACAATCAAAACATTGAGGTGGATGAGACACATGCACTCATCAGTACCTGACGAGCACGCTCAGGGCTCCCAGCGGTGTGACTAGCGTTGCAGGAGCAAAGGCGTAAGCGGCGAAGTTGGCCGCTTCCCCAGCCCCCACTGCAAAAGGTTAACAGACAGTTATTTCCACACATGAAGGAAAGTAGAACTGTCCTGTGACAGAGACATGCAAACACTGTAATACTATCTGAGGTTTAGGGCATTTTGCAACAGAGGTAGTAGAGAAAGAAAGGGTTTGACAATGGGACAGTGACAAAATATCTTAAAGCTAGCGAGATGAAGCTGGATTATTACATCTGTAATAATGAAATACATGCACCAATATACCATCTGATTCAACAATGAGATTACATTTAGCTCATTTGTTATTACCAAACACTTTCGTTCATTCCCAGGTCCTTGTTTTTATTTTTGGACTTTCCTAGAGTAGCCCTGCATGATTCACAGTTCAAAATAATCCTAATTTATCTCACTTGTGTAGTCAGACTTCATCGACTGCCTGAAATAAGCCGTTTCAGCCCCTTTAAGGATACTTTCTGATCTCAGAGTAGGAAACAAATCTGTGATAAACTGAGTGTTTGGAGCAGTCTGAGCTTTGAAGGATTATTGTAAATACACTGAGCTCATCATTAGAAACTGTGGACATGTTTAATATGAACATCCACCACTGGTAAAGGATGACAAGAGAGCGAAAAAAAACAAGGTTTGCTTTAAAATCAAGTGTAAGACTGAGATCGTGATTACTTAACATGGTTAATCAGTCCTCGGAGAACTTAAATATCTAATATTAAAAGAAAACTGTGTTCTTCCTTGAATTTGAATTGTAATTCAAGAGAATGGAATTAAATAAGTAAGAAAGAATAAATCTGGGCAGGTTTTCTTCAGCTCAATCTGCCAAAGACCAATTCTGAGCTTTTATGTAACGATAACAAAAGTGAAGGAGACGCAAAAGAAGTCCTGAATGTGTCAAAATAACAACAGCAGCAGGTCTCCTTCAAACAGCATCAGCAATCAGCATGAGCCCAGGTGGTGCATCCACAAAGACAAATACCAGCTCCTGAAACCACATGTGACCTCAACATATGCAAATATGTTATGCACCAACTCTGGAGAATGTCTGCTACACCTGCATCTGAATGATCTCATTTCATTTTGAGCCACAGCGTTATCACTTACTTGATAGTAAACCTGCCCACCACAGCCACTCTTTCAGATACGCATGACCTCCCTGCCCTGAAAAGCAAAAGAAATGTTTTCATTTCCACGTGATTCCTCATTTCAATGTCACTTGCATGTAAGAAAAACCTGAATTATGCAACTCCTCGCTTTGACTGCAGGTCAGGTGATGGACGTGAACTGAAGGTCGAGCAGAGCGCTGGAGTTAATGATTGCTAGGATTTAAGAGTGTTCATGACTCATGTACACAAACAACATGCAGACACACACTTAAACACACCCTGCACAGGTGAGGAGAACCTGACAAGCCTGAAATGTCACAATGGATAAGCATGTGTGGAAACACCCCTCACAGGGAGTGCCTGTGAGGGGGGAACAGACAAGCAAACAAACAGAAAAAGAAGACTGAAGTGTGGGTCCCCTCAAGGATTGGGGTAACCTGCATCGATGCTCAGAAAAAAGCACCCCTACCTGCCCGTGTGGACCCCTTCCTCGCCAACCTCAGAAGTCCTTTCTTCTTCAGGATAAAACTGCCTCCGATGAAGATGCTGGAGCTGACGGCCAGCGCCAAGCCAATGTAGAAGTCATATTTGCCCCTGTCTTGAGCCATAATGAGGCTGGATGTGTTGATGCGGTCTGTCACATTTACCAGCTGACAGCGCAGGTGCTGACCCGGTAAGGTGCAGTTCTGTCCGACCCAAACACCTGACAGCAGAAGAACAGACCACAGGCTGGAGTGAGAGACCCATAAAGACCAGTGTTTAAAGTCAGCACTCCAGCAGGAACCTACCGTGACCACAGTCCACTCTACACCCTGGAAAAGCATCACCTGAGGAGTTGGAGGAATCCATCTACCTGCTGTCCTTCCTACCTACAGTCTGCTCCCATTCACGCACATCCGAGTGACTCTCGGTAAAACCTGAAGGGTTTCTGGGTGTTGTACTGTCATACATTCAAAAGCATTGTGCAACTAAGTCACCTGCTATGTAAATCACCCATCTCCAGTACTCAAGAATTCAGGAAGTGATACGAAAGGGAGGCTCACCTGGCCGCGATAGGTGAGGCTTAATGTCGAGTTAGCCTCAGGCGGTCTCTTTTTTTACGGGCTGCTTTGGTGTTTAACTGAGTCTTCCCTGTGTGGACACTAATCTGTGCTTTAACTCACCGGCAGAAATAAAGAAAGCGTGTAAATGCTGCTATACGCCGCTAGCCGCATTAGCTTCATTAGCGCGGAGGCTAGCTGGCTGACTGGTTGGCTAACGCAGAGTGAATGAAGCCACTGAGAATCTCTTTGCGCCGCCTTTAACGAGCACAGAGCTCGGATTATTACCTGCTCACCGCGGGCTGCTCAGCTCCACACACACAAGAAGGTTCTCGCTGATGAACAGTCTGCTTTCCGGCTCCGTGGCTGCGCATCACCTACTGCTCCCTCCGCGTTCAACCAGCGCGCACACGCCGAGCCTCCAGACGCTGCTGCCGCACTGCGCGCCGCTCCTTCCGCCTCGCACAGGACACGCGGCCGGAGCGGTGTGCCCTCCGCCGGCGGGACCCAGCACCGCAGGCGGGACGCAACATCGGAACCACCTGGACCCGGAACCGCAGGCGTACTGGAAACTCCATCTCCATCATCAGGTCAACCAGGGAAACCTAGCAGCGCTTTATCATTAAAAAGAAAATCAGTGGTTACTAAGGTTATGATAGTTAAGTAAAACTAAACTGCTAAAACTAAATACAATATCTATATATATGTATAGATAGATAAAATTCAAACGCACTAAAAATAAAATAATAATATAGATATCCTTATGATTTAGCATTTATTCGTTTTATCACAGTTTTATTACACTTGGTATTGAGGGTAATGTTTTTGAGACTGTCAGTCAGCTGCTTTCAAAAGGGCATGCCTCTCTAATCCCTTCATACTAATGACTGTAGAAAACAGTCATTGCTTCATACAATCATAATTAGAAAGACTAAAACAAAAGATTTTCAAGCAATTAAAAACTAAATTGAAGCAATATAAGTAAATAAATAAATAAGCACTCTGGAAAATAACTGAAACCAAACTGAATTTAAAAATAAAAAGTCAAAATGAAATACAAATCCCAAATAAAAAATAACAAATTATACTTCCTAAATAATACATTTTATTGCAAATCTGGTTTCTAATCAGACAGGTCTCACTTCAAAACATTTTGGTGTAATTTTCCAAAACAATGTATTTTAAATGTCATCCTTTGAAACCTGAATGGCCTGTATTTGTTTCTCATACCTATATATGCTTATCTGTGGCAGACATTATAGATGTTTTAATGTTATTAATTAATTAAGCGGTTTTAAAAAGCATGCAAATGTTTGTCTTTGAAATAAAGACATAAAAACTTGCAGTTCGGTGCTTAACAATGTTCATTAAACCACCAGCCTGGGTAAGGTTTATGCCACAGCTGGCATAAATGAACAGTATTGGTAGTTACCAAAATCATTTTTATGTTTTTCTAATAAGTAATCCACCAGTATACGCAGGCTGTTTAATAATAATATTGTAACACTAAAAATATTTTTTTTCTTCATTAATTTTAAAATGTGTTCTTTTACAACACCTAATAAAACATTTGTAAGGATGCCAAATTCCAGTTATTTGCTTGCATTCCTGATCAGAAAAATTAGTTTTAGTGGTTAAATCCTATGCTCAGATAATTTCTGACTTCTCCGAGGAGTCTATTGTGCTGGCTTGAATTTGGGTATAAAAATGTGAACAAAATCATATAATTTTTCATTTTAAACAGTTTTAAACAGTTTTTTTTAACTCGATGTTTGAGTGAATTATAGATAGACAGTATGCTGGTCTGATTTGAGCACCAAACTTGAGATAAACTGAATAATGTGATTGCACTAAAGTCCTCATACTCAGGGTGCTTTTTATCCTTTGTTATTTGGCTGCTTCAGTTTCAAAAATCTGGTTTGGAAATGTGGAAAATTTCAAAGAGTTTGTGCAAAAAGACTCAGATCTGAGGTCTCTACAGCAGGAAATCTGATCACCATGGTTCACTGCAGAACAGGGAACCATAAATATGCGCGGAGTCATAATTGACCATGCTGGGTCAGTCTCTAGTTAACAGTAAATGAGAAAGTGTCACTACAGTTTAAAAAGACGGAAGGAACTTATTCATTTATTCAAATATGTAGTTTATATTTGTTATGTTTGACTAACTAAAATAATATCCAACTCAGTTGATCGTCTATGCAAACTATTCAGACCGTCTCCTGAAATCTTCAGATTATGAGACAAAATTTCATGTTTGAGCTGCATTATAGCACAGCTTACAAACTCAAGCATGAATGTAATATTCATTCAATTGTATTCAGACATTATAATCAAAGTAAACAAGTTTATTGGCCCGTTTAAGTTAAAAGGGAAGATTAGAAGACAGTCATAAGTGTGGATGTGCTCGTCATGTTTATCATTTTTCATGATCTACTCTTAATAGTTTGTGATAACAATAAAGTCACAGCCAGGAAACATCTGCTGACGTCTTCAGTGACCTCCAATAAGCGGAGCTTTCTACACCAGGAACCAGGAAATTGTGCCTTCTACCAAATCAGTGTATTTTAGTCCTCGCTTACTTTCCTATAAATATATGAATTTTTAAAAAAAATAAATCAGTGATAGTCCAGTGAGAGCAGAACTAAACCATAAATGCCCCTTTAAAGACTGATCAGTATCAGTATCAATCAATATTTTCAAAAAAACCCTTCACATTTATGAAGAATTTAACACCCAGACCTTGTGTTCACTGGTGTGATAGTCAGAGAGATTCATTATGTGCCTCACAGTTTTCAAATTGTCCCAGAGGAACATCCAAGCTCCTCAGGTGTGTCCAAACATTTGACTGGTGCTGTACATCATGTGAGATATTTGGAATGGAGCCTCCTTCCCTCTAAATAACAGAAGACAATGAAAAGCTAATCTGTAAGCTATTTCAGTAGAATTTAGCTTATCTTGTGTGATTTAAAAGTATTAATCAATCTCCCTTTTAAAGGATTATGAGTTATAGTCAGTTGCATTTAAAATGGATATAAATTAAGGGTTTGACACTGATGGAGGCACATCTTACGTCCGCTTGTGTGTTTGTTCTTCCGTGAAGAGCTTCTGATGATGTTCACATGCTGGTATGTTTGCTCTGAGTCTGTGCATTAGTAATCTCAGGAGGAATGACTCATATAAATAACCAGGCATGAAAGTAGAACATTAATTAATTTATTCAAGTTTTAATGTATTCGTGTAAACAGCGAGAGGCCACAGAAGAGAAGGAATGTGTTACAAAATTCTCCTTTGCACAGAATACTCAGTCGTCCTCCACACAGCTGAAGAGGCAGCTTATGGAGTTACCTTCAATAATTTACAGGCGGCCTGAACTCACGGAGGTGATTCTAAGAACTGAGACAGCCTGTAAAAGCCTGATGGGCAAGACTCTGGAGGAAAGGAAGAAAGTTATTTACACAACAGTGACAAATTAACTGTCGGTCCTCAGACCACATTTAAGCTTGTAATAAAATGCCTCATTTATGACTCCAGTGCTCTTTAGAGTTTTTCAAGCAGGAAAATGTTCTATCAGTCTACACGTCCTCCAACTTTTCTTTTTTTTTTTTTCATTTTAAAAAAACAAAAGAAACAAAAACCGGATTTGGACTACTGGTTTCTGCTTCTTTTCATTAAACTGTGATATTTTACAGTGGACAACACATGGAGAGGAGAAAGAGGGCCCCTGATTTTTAATGTTTCTGCACAAAATCTTTGAACTCCATATCCCCAAACCAGATGATTTAGAGTTTGTTAAAGTTCACTCAGTCGTAGATAAAGGCATTAGAAACACAGAGAGAAACATTAAAAATATAATCTTCGTTAAAATAAAAGGTGTCATAAGATAATTCGGCTGATTGAGGGTTAACGAGACGAAAGCGTTAACATCATATCTAGTGTTACTTCAAACATATTTAAGATAAAATAAACTAATTATATATCTTATGTTGTTTTGGTCATTCAAACTGGAGGTAGGAAAAAGTCTCAGGAACTCAACTTTGGCGCAGACGCGATGTAAAGGATTAAAAGGCATCTGAATCAGTCTGACTTTTCCTCTTTTTTCTTCCACGTAATCAGCGCCTCCTGGGAAATGTGCAGTAAAACAACACCGACGCACACCGTGGTTAAAGCACACAGTATGGCGAGGCTGTCTGTTATAGTCAGCGCGGTCCACTCCTTAAAGAGAAGACCGGAAGCTAAAATCACGGTGGACGTGAACGTCACATAGTAAATCGCTTCAAATATGTTGGAGCTGAAACACTCCAGCGCCTTGTTGATGAAGAAGAACTGTGTGAGGATACTGACAGCCAGCGTGCCCAGCAAGCCCAGGAAGAGCGCCCGAGCCCTGCTGCTTGACGGGCCCTCGCCGAATGCGTCCGGAACCGCCAAGCCGAGGCCTTTGCTGCTCGGCACTGTGAAGCTTCCCAGCAAGGAACATATGGCAACGTACACCATGATGTTAGATGTGCCATGAGCTGGAGCGACCCACACGATGAGAATGACCAGCAGCAGGACCACCACAAGGGCGTACGTGACAAACACTGCAGGACAACAAGAGAAATGAAGAGTTATTTTAGGAGCAGGTGTAGAGAAGTTGTATTACACACTAACTATAGTCCTTTTTAGTGTCTGCAAAGTAAAGGAGTGTATATTGGTATTTAATGGCCTACTGAAAAGTTTTTGGACACAACAGATCAGTCAGATGAGGAAATGTATATACACATATACATATATAATGTTGGTGTAAAACAGAATGACTGATTAAGTGCATAATCAGTGTGAAGGAAACAGCAAATAAAGAGCCCCTCTGCGTTACCTGGGTCGAGGAGCCTCTCCTCCAACTCGAGCCTTGAAGTTGCCTCTGCTGTCGGGGCGTGAATGATGAGCACCACAGAGCCGCAGCAGCATAAAACACAGCCGAGCTTCCCCAGGATGATTAAATGCTCTTTCAAGATCCAGGAGGCCAACACAGCCCTGCAGCACCCAAACACACACTGTCAAAAGTTCAAGAAATTAAAGTGTTTAAACAGTTTCATCTCTTGTAGAGCTTAAATCAGGGGTGGGGAACTCCAGGCCTCAAGGGCTGGTGTCCTGCAGGTTTTAGATCTCACCCTGGGTCAGTACAACTGAATCAAATGATTACTGTAGTTCATTACCAGGCCTCTGGAGAACTTCAAGACATGTTGAGGAGGTAATTAAGC